GGGGAAGAAGACCTACTGGTCCCCTCTGAAGATGGAGATCTACTGTTCTTCTCTGGAGAAGAAGACCTACTGTTCTTCTCTCTAGAAAAAGACCTACCTGTCTTCTCTAGAGTAGGTCTTCTTCTTCTGGTCTTCTATGGGGAAGAAGACCTACTGGTCCCCTACTGGTCTTCTCTGAAGAAGAAGACCTACTGGTCTTCTATGGAGAAGTCCTTCTGGCCTTCTAAGAAGAAAATTTCCGGTTCTTCTAGTAAGAAGACCTTCTGGTCGTCTATGGAGAAGACCTACTGGTCTTCAAGTAACCTTCTGGTCTTCTATGAAGAAGACCTTCAACTGGTCTTCTATGAGGAAGACCTTCTGCTGCTCTTCTACAAAAAAAGACTTTCTACTAGCCTTCTATGAATAAGGCTTTCTGGTCTTCTATAAAGTAGACCTTCTAATCTTATATACAGAAGATCTTGTGGTATTCTATAAAGAAGCCCTTATTGTCATCTATAAAGAAGTCCTTCTGGTCTTCTGTAAAGAAGACCTTCTGATCTTCTTTAAAAAAGAACTTCTGGTCTTTTATAAACTTCTGGTTTTAAATAAAGAAGACCTTCTAGACTTCTGGACTTCTCTGATGAAGACCTTTCTCTGTTCTTCTCTGAAGAACACCTTACTCTACTCTTCTCTGAAAATGAGCTTCCTCTCATCTTCTTCTGCTCTTCTCTGAAGAATACCTTTCTCTGCTCTTCTCCGAAGTAAACAATCCTCTGCTCTTCTCTGAAGTAAACCATCGTCTGCTCTTCTCTGAAGAAGATTGCTCTGCTATTTTTGTAGAAGTATTTTTTCTTGTCTATTAGGAGAAGACCTTCGATTCTTTTATAAGAATAACTTCTGTATTACTTCCTAATTTTGTTTTCCAAATTTTCTGTTTTTAATTTCGAATTTTCCCTTATGTTCCTCTATTAATTTCTATATGTACATATTTTTCTATTTTCTAATGGATTATCAGCAAACTAATAAATCATGAATTGTGTGGAAAATTAACAACTTAACGGCATCTAATACCCCACTAAGCAATCTCATTTATTACAAATCATTTCACAAATTTATATTTCTTGAAATCTCCAATCATTTTCACCACAGTGTCTGGCAGTTTTAATGGTCGTACATAAAACAGGGAGAAAAAAATACATGATTGGGTGTGGTGTACTTGTTTTGTATTAAAGGAGAATACAAACTTATGTGAACTATTCCGCAAAAAAAAAACATTGAACAAAATAAAAAAATATCGACAAAAATGCAATTTAAATATTTCCAAAATATTTTTCATTTGTCTAAATTTTTCTAATTTATCTAAATATTTTTTTTAAAAACTCTTTTATTGGTCAAACTCTTGTTTTTTTTTTTTGGCATTTTCGAATTTTTTACATGACCCTTTGTTCTCCTTTTCATTTGCCCTCAAATCGCTTAGAAAAATACGAGGGAGGACATATTAAATGACCTATAAAAATGTGAAATATCAAAAGTCATGCCTCAATTATAATTCAAGTATTGAAATCAAGAACTAAAATAAAAATAAATACCAACAACAACATGAAATGGTGCCAAGTTATTGGTATTCAAAGCCTAGTGTCTGACAATTCCTGACATAGTTCCAAAAGCATTGTCATCATCAGAAGCAATGAGTGTGGGTTATTTTTATTTTCGAAGCATATTTGTTGTTCTTTCGATATGTGGGTTATCCTATTTGTCCTTTGTTCTTATTCATTTGTCTATCTGTCGCTCTTCGTATTAACTGGAGTTGGAGTTTTTTTTTCGCTGGGATGTTGACATCATCACCATCACCAGTTCAACAACACCACTATTTTAAGAAAGTTTTATGTGACCCAGTCAACATTTGGCAATTTTCGAAGGCATTTTGCCGTTATTTGTAGTTTCTTTCTGTCAGCCAGAATGGCGCTCAACGTAATCTATGTTAAGGGCAATTTTCTTTTTAGTATTCCATCAATGAATGGTTCTTCGTGTGGGGTAACATGGTCTAATTCTAAGAAATTTGTTACAAACAATGAATTTTATTTCTAATATATTTACGTCATCGCATCTCAAAAATATGGTGTTGTTAAAATAATTTTATTGAACAACAATTGTAGAGGTAGTTTAGAGTTTAAATGGTCGAAAATGTGCGTGCGTTTTTTTTTTTTTTTTTTTTTTGTAAAGGAAACAAGACAATTTATGGAAAATGCTTAAGGTTCAATGTTTGTCATGGGAAGTAGTAAAGTGTGTCATTAACTCAATTGACTTTTGAAAATTAATTAAATTTTAAATCGAATATCTTTTAAAGAGAGAGTTTTAAAGAGTAACCATACAGGCTGAGATGAAAAAACTGCAACCAACTTCAGAGTGCTGTCATTTCTAAGCCACTCGTCCGACAGCTGTTAAAAATATTCCAGTGATAGCTGATTATATTATTTACAAGCGTACAAAAGCATTTTGGTGAGAAATTTCTAGAAAATAAGTTATTCGTGGTGTAATTCAGGCGTGATAATGTGATTTCTTTATATTTGGCTGGAAAACCACAAGTGGCTATCGTTAGAGCACTCCAACAATTAAAAGTGAATAAATCTTTGTGTCACGTACCATCGCTCGTCACAATGATACTGGTAGTGTAGCCCGACGTCAAGGAAGTGGACGGAATAAAGCAGCAACATCACCAGAAATACTTCGAAAAGTAACGAAGCAACTTGATCGAAAGCCGCGACGCAGTGGTCGAAAAATGGCTCGTGAGCTGAACATATCGCAATATTTCATTCGGCAAATATTGAAAAATGAACTCGGGGAAAAGCCATTGAATTTCCCAAAAGTGCAAGAACTTACACCGCAACGTAAAAACCAGTAGAGAAATGCTTAAAGACGGGCGAGGCCGACTTTATGATACCCTACACCACTTTGCTAATTTAGTAGACCTGCGCATAACAATTAAAAGTTTTTATGGGTGAATTCAATCACACACGCTATGATTATAATTACAATTTAAAGTTAAATTCGGACTTGTATTGCCCATTTGGTGCACAATTAATTTGAAATCAGATAAAGATATATATGGGAACTATATCCAAATCTGAACCGATCTCAATAAAATTTGGCAAAGATATTTTTGAGCTGTATTTGATATAATTCCCTGAATATCGTTATTACGGAGTGCATATTACGGCTGTAGGTAACAAATACAACAAATCGGATGAACAATATATATATGGGAGCTATAGCTATATCTGAAATATCAAATTTGTCATACTACCTTCTAGAGTAAATTCGGTCGTATGTGCCAAATTCCATCCAATTTGAGCAAATATTAGACGTTTGGTGCACAATAAAAGGTAAATCGGACGAAGTTATATATGGGAGCTATATCCAAATCTGAACCGATCTCGATAAAATTTAGCAAAGGTATTTCTGAGCTGCATTTGATATATTTCCCCAAATATTGTTGTTACAGAGTGCATATTACGGCTGCGGAGGACAAAAATAACAAATCGGATGAACAATATATATGGGAGCTATAGCTATATCTGAACCGATTTCGATCAAATTTGGCATACTTATTTTCAGGCCTAATTTAGTTGTATGTGCAAAATTCCATACTATTTGGTCTGATATTACACGTTTGGTGCACAATAAAAGGCAAATCGGACGAAGATATACATGGGAGCTACATCTAAATTTTGACCGATTATCTCCAATTTCAATAGGTTCGTCCTTAGGCCAAGCAAATGATTTGCAAAATTTAATCTGGATAGGGCAATAAATGCGATCTGTGCCTTGTTTACAAAAATACATGGACAGACGGACGGACATGCATAAATCGACTCAGAATGTGATTCTATGCAGATCATCAAAAGGGACTATGGATGTATCTCGTTTCCTTTTGCCTGTTACAAACAAATGCACAAAGACATAATACCCTGACCACCTTGTGGTGTAGGGTATAAAAATAGACTCAAAAGAGCTAAAAAGTTGCTTCGCTTGGCCGACAGTTGTGAACTGCCGAATTTGGTTTTCTCCGATGAGAAAACCTTCGTTGTCCAGCAGTTTGTAAACAAACAAAATGATCGTGCTTACTTGCCAAAGAGGTCAGCTGAAAATGTACCATCTGTTGGCCACCAGAACTCAAGCCCCGGTCATGGTGACGGTGTGGGCCGCCATAACAGCCGATTATCGCTCTCGGCTCGTATTAATCGACCGTGGCATCAGAATAAATGGCGAATATTATCGCGAAAACATTCTGGAGGGTGTATTAGAGCCTTGGGCACGCAAACATTTTTGCCGCAGACCCTGGACATTCCAACAGGACATAGTACCATCGAGCTCAGCGTCACCAAAGAATGGTTACAAAATGAGGTTCCTCGCTTCATTTCCAACGCACAATGGACACCAAAGACTCCGGATACCAATCCGTTGAACTATTGTGTCTCGAGTATTTTGGAAAGCAAGGTTGACACTAAAAAATAACAAAGTGTCGATCACCTCATGCAAGCGCTTCGCCGGGAATGGACCAAAATACCGCAGAGCAACATTCGGGCAGCGTGTGACAGTTTCATTGGCCGTTTGAAGGCCATAATTCGTGCCAAAGGTGATGAATTCGAGCAAATCTAAAGTTATTCTGAAATTTTATATGCCATTTCCGACAATTGTTGCTTTTATTCAATAGAATTTAAAAAAAAATAATGTAAAAATTATGGCGACTACTTTGTTGCATTTTTTTATCTAACCCTTTATACCTTAAATTCAAGGATTTCAAGGAATCGTGTTTCCTCCTCAATTTAGGTTTCTTTGGGATCTAAACTTTCAAAACGCCGATACATGTGTCTTCTATTTCTAGCTCCATTTTCATAATCTACTGGACTTTTTCCTATAATAATTGAAAATTTTTACATTTGTCACACAAAATAATTGAAGTTTTCCCATTATTCCTTATTTAAAAAATGTTCTCTATTTTACTTTTTTCCTTTTTCCAGCTGCCGACCCCAATCCCAGCAATCGCCTACAGTGCTGGCATTGTAGCTCCGACACAATTGGCTCTGAGGACTTTTGTGGTGAAGTTTTCAACGAAGACAACATACCTGTAGATTTGCTCAAGGAACGCAATCTAAGCGTGTTGCGTGCCTGTAATAGCAGCATTAAATCGGAGCATGAAAGGCCAGTTTGTCGTAAAACCGTGGAAGAAGGTTGGCATTTTTTCATTTTTTAATTATGCTAATGAGCTTATTTGCAGGACATTAACGTTTATCTCTCTCCCCATCTCTCTCACTCTCTCTTTCATTTTCAGTTAATGGCCAGACGATAGTAAAACGCTTCTGTTACTATACCAACAAATCGGATACTTTGAATCATTGCATGGATGATCCCACCGAGAAAAATGTCCATCGCATTTTCTGTGAAGATTGTCTGACGGAGAAATGTAATGGCGCCATTGGGATGGGTGGTAATTTGTTGGGTCTCCTTTCGGCTGCCGTCACCTTGATAATTGTCGTGGTGGGCAAGCATGTCAGTGTTTAAACGTTTTCAGCGGAATGGTGGCTAAATAATTTACGAAATGTATACTTTATGTGGAGCAGCACAAGAAAATTAAAACACAAAAAAAAAAAACGATGGAAACTAAATAGTAATCCTCCCTCCCTCCAAACCTCCCCCTCCTACACACCTAATAACTTCCGTAATTACAATTAAGCCAACCAAAAAAAAAAAATGAGTGGATTTATTCTTTTATAATTATTTTGTGATATTTTTGTTGTTAGTCACTTGATTTAATCTAATTTTAAGAATTAATTTATTAAGTAGTTAGTACGCAAATTAATTTAATGATATATAGTTTTAAAAAGTATGGGAAATATACAGCTATGTCCACGATTTCCGATCAATTGAAAACAGTCACTTGTGTAATTGTATTTTCTTCTCTAAAAAGTTTATTTTTTTAATATTAATTAATTTAAATAAATATATTTATTTTTACACAGTTTTGTTCTGTGATCTTAATTTTAGCTTTATTTTATCTAAGAATGAGAACTTTAGAAGTTATATTTTAAAAGTAAATAAGTCAAAATTTATATAAAAATTAATTTTCAAAATTTAAAAAAAAAAATATTAACAAAAAATTTCTTAAATTATAAAAACCGAAACAAAAATCCGATTTTCAAAATGTTAATGGAAAAGTTTTAAAGAAGAGAAGCTTTTGACAAACTGCCTTAAGTTCGCCTTGATATTATTTTATACCTAAGATTTAAAAATATATTTTATAAGCATCTATTTCGCCATATTTGTAAATGTTCAATGTACACAAATACATAATTAAATAAATTAACAAGAAAAAAACAACCTTCGAAATATGACAGAAAAAAGAAAACCAAATAAAGTTACTTTAAAACCTACCATTTACTTTCCTTATTTCACAGAAGCAAGTTTTGATATAATAGCAATTTTCCCAAAAATATTTTGTACAAAATTTATGAATTCTAGATATTAAACACATAATAAAACATGACCGATTTATCCATTGTGTGCTTTATCCGGTCTGCTATTTCACTGATTAGAGGAATATAACCCATATAAAAATCTCAAAGATTTTAAAGTATTTCTAAACACTTATTAAATTGGAAATTGTGGCATAAATCTTGAAAATATCGAAAATCAAGAGGTGCCTTTATATGGAGGTTATATCAATTAGTGGACCTATAGCAAATATTTTTTGCAGGGGGAGAATAGACCTACCAAAAACCCTAGATGTCAAGTTTCATGTCATTTGGTTGGAAATTGTCGGTATTTTCAAGGTTTCTGGTCTGTTATCTCCTACCGAAAAATGTTCAATTCAGGAAAATTTTCGGAAGGAAGTAGCAGACCTACCGAGCACCCTTGTTGTCAAGTTTCAGATGATTTGCTTGGAAATTGTTGCAAAAACCTTGAAAATACCGAAAATCGGGCGATACTGTTATATGGGGCTATGCTAATTAGTGGATCTTAATCAAAACTTTTTTTGCAAAGAGAGAGCCCAACAAGCAAGGAGAGACCTATCGTGAACCCCAATTGCCAGGTTTTATCTAATTTGGTTGGGAATTGTGGCAAAACCTTTAAAATTCCGAACACCGGGAAGTACTGTTATATGGGGATTATACCAATTAGTGGACCTGTAGCAAATATTTTTTGCAGGGAGACAACAGATCTACCAATACCCCCAGATGTCAAGTTTCATGCAATTTGGTTGGAAATTGTGGCAGAAACCTTCTAAATACGGAATATTGGGAGGTGTCTTTATATGGGGGCTATACCAATTAGTGGACCGGTAACAAATATTTTTTTCAGGGAGAGAACAGAAACCGAAATGTCAAGTTTCATCTAATTTGGTTGGGAATTGTGCCAGAAACCTTTAAAATGTCGAAAATCGGGAGGTACTGTTATATGTAGACCTGTAGCAAATATTTTTTGCAGGGAGAGAACAGATCTACCAAAAACCGCAGATGTCAAGTTTCACGTAATTTGGTTGGAAATTGTGACAGACACCTTAAAAATGCCTAAAATCGAAAGTGCTGTTGTGTGGGGGCTATACCAATTAGTGAGCGCACCTCAGCGAACATTTTTGAAAGGTGAGAAAAGAACCACCAAGAACCCCAAATTCCAAGTTTCATCTAATTTGGTTGGAAATTGTGGCATAAATCTTCAAAATACCGAAATTCTGGAGGTACCTTTACATGGGGACCATACCAATTAGTTGACATGAATCGAACATTTTACGCAGGAAGAGAACATATCTACCGATCACCGTTATTGCCAAATTTCAGCTGATAGGCTTGGACATTGCGGCAAAAACCTTCGAAATGCCGAAAATAGGGAGGTACCGTTATATGGGGGCTATACCAATTAGTAGACCTGTGGCAAATATTTTTGCAGGGAGAGAACAGTCCTACCAAAAACCCCAGATGTCGAGTTTCACGTAATTTGGTTGGAAATAGTGGCAGAAACCTTCTAGATACCGAATTTTGGGAGGTGTCGTTATATGGGTCCTATACCAATTAGTGGACCTGTAGCAAATATTTTTTGTAGGGAGAGAACAGTCCAACCAAGAACCCTAAATGTCAAATTTCATGTAATTTGATTGGAAATTGTTGCAGAACCCTTAAAAGTTCCGAAAATAGGGTGCACCGTTATATGGGGGCTATACAAATTAGTGGACCTGTAGAGAGAGAGAGCAGACCTACCAAGAAACCCTAATTGGTAATTGTGGCAGAAACCTTTAAAATACTGAAAATCCGGAAGCTCCGTTTTATTGGGGCTATACCAATTAATGGACCTCTAGCAAATATTTTTGGCAATGTGAGAACAGACCTACCAAAAACGCCAAATGTCAAATTTCATGTAATCTTGATGGAAATTGTGGCGGAAACCTTTAAAACACCGATAATCGGTAGGTACCGTCTTACAGGGGCTATAGCAATTATTGGACCTGTGGCAAATATTTTTTTTTTTTGCAGTGAGAGAACAGTCCTACCAAGAACACCAACTGTCAAGGTGTCAAGGGAGGTACAGTTCTATGGGGGCTATAGCAGTTCTATGCAAGGATAGAACCTATCGAGAACCACAAGTGTGAAGTTTCTGCGAATTTGGTTTTGGCTATACCTAAACTTGAACCAATATACACCATTTTCATACCCTGCATATAATATAAATGTTTGTGCTAAATTTCTATACATAGCTATAGCTATATCTAGACAGACCTTTACCAAATTTGAAGAACATGCTTCTGGGCTGAATTTGGTCATATAAGCCAAAATCCACTTTATTTGTACTGATATTAACCTTTTGGTGCATAATAAACTGAAATGGGAAAAAGAAAAAAATCCTGGGCTGGATCTGATATCTGGTACCAAATATCATTGTTGTGAAGTGTGTATAAAGAATATAAGGGACTTAAACACTAAATCGGATACAATAAATATGTGGGATCTATAGCTATATCTGAACCGATTTTTACCAAATTTGAAACACTTGGTTCGGGTTTGCTGAAATTGATCTAACTTGAATAAGAAATATTCAATATTCAATCAATATTGCACATCACTATACATCTAACAACACTAAATCTTGTGTGAAAATGGATCATAGCGGACTTCCCTTTTTGGTAAATACCCTACAAAGGGTCAAAATTTTTAAAAATTTTAAATCTTTAAAAATGCGAATTGAGTCAGTGTTTTGTACCCTACAACACTGATTTGGTGATATTATATGTTTGATTGGGCCAAAAATTATGTAACTCCCCGAAATATTGGTCTAAATGATATATATGGATATCCCAATCTCATCGAGCTCAGTCGATCTATGATCTACAAGTCGTATTTATGATCCTCACGAAATTTTACATGGAGGTGAGGTTAAGGTAAGAATAGAAGCCTATTGCGTTTCGTGATGATCGCAAGATATTTAGAGATTGAAATGGATAAAACCTGAAAAGATTGCTGATTTTGCAGTAGCTTTAGAGGTCGGAATTATAAACCCCAATCTACTCTGAATTTAGCATTGGAATACAGGGTGAGATAAAAAAAACTGCAAAAAAGGTCAAACGACACAATTTTTACACTTTTTTTAATTTTGATGAATGCAAGCTAAATATTTCGGAAACAGCAAAAAAAATTTAGAATAAGTTTAGATTTGTTCGAGTTGGTCACCTTTGGCACGAATTATGACCATCAAACGGCCAATGAAACCGTCACACACTGCCCGAATGTTGCTCTGCGGTATTTTGGTCCATTTCCGGCGAAGCGCTTGCTTGAGGTGATCGACCCTTTGGTATCTTTTAGTACCAACCTTGCTTTCCAAAATACTCAGACACAATAGTCCAACGGATTTATGGACCAAAAATTAAAACTTTCCTCATTTTGCAGTCCCACTACAGGTCACAATTTGTTCGATTGTTCAAATTGGTCAACTTTGGCACGAATTGTGCCCTTCAAACGGCCAATGAAACCGTCACATGCTGCCCGAATGTTGCTCTGCGGTATTTTGACCCATTCCCGGCGAAGCGCTTGCTTGAGGTTCTCGACACTTTGGTATTTTTTAGTGCCAACCTTGCTTTCCAAAATACTCCAGACACAATAGTCCAACGGATTGGTATCCGGAGATTTTGTTGGCCATTGTGCGCTGGAAATGAAGCGAGGAACCTCATTTTGTAATCATTCTTTAGTCGCGCGTGCTGAGTGCGATGGTGCTGAGTCCTGTTGGAATGTCCAAGGTCTGAGGCCAAAATGGTTGCGTGCCCAATGCTCTAATACATCCTCCAGAATATTTTCGCGATGATATTCGGCATATACTCTGATGCCAGGGTCGATTAATATGAGCGGAGAGCGACCATCGGCTGTTATGGTGGCCCATGGCGGTTGAGTTCTGGTGGCCAACCAAAGGTGCACATTTTCAGCTGACCTCTTTGGCAAGTAAACACGATCATTTTGTTTGTTTACAAACTACTGGACAAAGAATGTTTTCTCATCGGAGAAAACCAACTTCGGCAGTTCACCACATTTGGCCAAGCGAAGCAACTCTTTAGTTTTTTTGAGTCTAATTTCGTTCTGTTGCGGTGTAAGTTCTTGTACTTTTTGGAATTTCAATGGCTTTACCCCGAGCTCATTTTTCAATATTTGCCGAATGGAATATTGCGATATGTTCAGCTCACGAGCCATTTTTCGGCCACTGCGACGCGGGTTTCGATCAAGTCGATTCTTTACTTTTCGAACCATTTCTGCTGATGTTGCTGTTTTCTTCCGTCCACTTTCTTGATGTTGGGCTACGCTACCAGTATCACTGTAACGAGCGATGGTACGAGACACAAAAGATTTATTCACATTTTAATGCTGGAGTGCTCTAACGATAGCCACTTTTGGGTTTCCAGCCAAATATAAAGAAATCACACTATCACGCTTGAATTCCATCACGAATAAGTCTTTTCTGGAAAATTCTCACCAAAATGCTTTTGTATGCTTGTAAATAATATAATCAGCTGTCACTGGAAAATTGCTATTAAAATCGATAAAATACCGATAGTTAGGTATTGCCGAAATGTGCACAATATTCCAAAATTTAATTTTTTTCTAGATATACCAAAAACTTTAGTGACCGATTTCAAATTTTTTTATTCATATGTATTTTTTTATGGAAACCAATATTTCGATGAAAATGGAAAAACTAATTTTATATATCTACTAGTATTAAAAATTTACAATATTGTCAAAAAATGTTCCATTAATTTTAAGATTGTGTCGTAAGCTAACAAAAAAAATTGCTTATCGTTCTCATTTTACACATTTGTTTATTTTTAATATGACATTTAAGGATATGCCTACTTAAACTATAATAAACAACGTTTCTTGAGTAACGCGAACTCTTTT